AATAAAAATCATTTATTCAAATAAACCTAATGTACTTTACAATAGTCATCAATTTTCAAAATAATAATAATTTCAGGACAGTTCACACAGCGCCATCTAGACCCAAGTTAAGCTAGCTAAAGCTTGTGTAAAGATACAATACATAGATATTTTTTTTCCTAAATACATTCATATTATACATAGAAAACACTCAGACCGATACCAACAAATATAGTTATGAATAGAAATATTTGTGCCGTGCGAGGACTCGAACTCGCGACCATCGGAAGTAAGCCGGTCAACTATTAGGTGAGCCGCAAGCTCGTTGTCGTCCTCGTCGTCCCCTATGCTATAAAAAGGAACAGAGCAGTCAATGTCCACTTACCCTGAAGTAAGAATATAATTTTGTTTCTCACTTTCTCCGAGCGTATTTTTGTTTTGAACACTGTCGTTCAGTGAGGTAAGCAAGCATTCCAAGCCAGGAATGCAGGTCGCCGGTAACGGTGCGGTCTCGCGGCGAGACGTCGCCGTCACGCGTCACGTCTCCATAGGGCAGGGTTGCTAACACCAAATTTAAAAAAATAGGATTTGAAGTTGGAAAAACCAAGACAAGTTTAAAACCAGGACTCAGTGATATACTTGTTATAATTATATTATTATATAAAATGTCAATAGGCTAAATTAATAAAATTCAAGTAATGGTCATAATCAGTGTTTAATACTTAAAAGTATTAAAAAAAACTCTACAATTCGAACAGGCATTGTAAAAATGGCGCGCGAATTTTGAAAATATATAATCTTGTCAGGGCGTTTTAAAAACACAGGACGCTGCTATAAAACAAGCCAGGACACTACAAAAACTAGGACATGTCCTGGGAAAACAGGTTGGCAACTCTACCGTAGGGTTACCAAATGTACTCTAAAACAGAGTATTGTACTCTATATATTGATATAAAGTTCAAACTTGTAGCGGCGAGCCTGCACTGAACCTGCCGAGGTTTTCCTGAGAGACTACAGCATGGGGTTTTTCAAGAAGGGTATATTAAGGTTTCTTAAGAGTCGTCAACCCTGGTGTTTCAGGCGTCCATAGGCTACTATAACCATTTACCATCAGATTGGCCGTATGCTTGTTTGCCACCTATCACTACATAGTATAAAACAAAGTCGCTGTCGCTGCCTGTCCGTGCCTATGTATGCTTAAATCTTTAAAACTACGGATTTTGATGCGGTTGTTTTAATAGATAGAGTGATTCAAGAGGAATGTTTATAGATATAACACATGTACACCTGTGCGAAGCCGGGGCGAGTAGCTGGTTTGGTATAAAAAAGAAGTTATTGAGTGTAATGACGACTGGTTCTTCATTCTCGTGAAACAGTGCTGCTTTTGGGGACTGGTATGTGTGTTACGGCAATTGATTAGACAATTTCCTTTTGGAAAAATTACAATAGCAAATACTGGTCACTCTATTCTCCCTAATTTGAATTTCAAAATGAATCTGCATTTTTGTATGTATAAGCAAATTTGAAAAGAATAAGAGCTGGCTTTCTTGTCAGTTCATCTTAACTCGAATGCACACCGAACTGATGGTATTTGTTGACATAACATAAGAGTCTTTATTACCTATATGAATAAAGATATTTTAATTTGATTTGGTTTGTGATTTGTAGGCGTACGTACATATATAACATTAATAGAGCTTAGCTACAACAACTGTATAGTATTTTGTAGATATAGTGTTACCTAAATAAAAATATTTGAATTTGAATAGAGTATATTAAAATAATATTTTTTTTACACTAGGCAGCCAGTCATATATAGGATGTTTTGCAAACCCTTTGTCAGAACCAAAAAAGTCGGCTATTTACTGTTAATATGTGGGTATCCCAAATTCCACAAATATATATAACTCAAAGGTGACTGACGTAGTGATCTATCAACGCACAGCCCAAACCACTGGACGGATCGGACTGAAATTTGGCATACAGGTAGATGTTATGACGTAGGCATCCGCTAAGAAAGGATTTTGATTAATTCTACCCCCAAAGGGGTAAAATAGGGGATGAAAGTTTATATGAAACTTTGTCAATTTTAAACCGATCGGGCTGAGACTTTGCATGCATAAAGCTACTATGACGTAGGCATCCCCTAAGAAAGGATTTTGATAAATGCCACCCCTATGGGGATAAATTAACGCGAGCGAAGCCGCGGGCAAAAGCATATAGTATAAAATAAAGGTAAATCCGTACTCTTTATTTACCTACTTTTAAATAAGATATACTCTATTTCTTCTAATATTTGTTGACAACCCTACGTGGTCACGTCGACGCCACGGTACAAAACACCGGCGCCTTGGCCGTGAATGAATGGAGTAGTTGCACTACTTTAAATTACCATACATTATATAGATTAACTATCCATTTGATAGACGACCTCGGTGGTCTAGCGGTTTAGGTAATCGCCTGAATTCCGATGGTCACGAGTTCGCACGCTACAAACAAAACAAAATAGGAACATTGAAATGAAATGAAGTGATATTTATTTAGTAGAAGAAAAAACTAAAAGACACATTAAACAAACAAAAAAAAAAAACAGTGCGACAATTACAAAAAAAAAACAGTACGCAAATTACGTGTGTGCGCGTGCGTGCATGTGTATGTCTGTGGAAGCATCTACTGAATAGGTCCGTGCAAAAAACCTTAATATACCATTGAAGGGTACATTAAGGTTTTTTAAGGCTGTGGTAACCGTTTACCATCAGATGCAATTTATTTATTTAAAGTCTTTGCACCAGATAGGGAAACCAATTAAATATATGTATTTACTATATCTATATATAATACATTAACTGATACAGAAGGTGATTTGATCGCTAAGCAATTTCTTCCAGTCTACCTATGGGCAGAGCAAGTGAAGATAAGAAAAAGGTAGATGGCGAGCGTAGTTTTCAAAATATATTTACCACCCAGATTCCTTGTAGGCGTACTTCAAAATGTAGTCAGACGGCCTAGGTGATCTAGCGGTTTAGCACACGGTTTTACGTCCGATGGTCGCGGGTTCGATTTCTCGCACGGCACAAATTGTATGTACTCATGAGTATGATTGTTTGTATCTGCCTGGATGTTTTCAATGTATATTATGAATGTATTTACGAAAAAAATCAATGTATTTGTATCAGTTATCTAGTGCCCATAACACAAGCTTTAGCTAGCTCAACTTGGGTCTAGATGGCGCTGTGGAAATGTCCTGAAAAAAAATCTTTTGATATTAAAGAAGGTAATACTCACCTCATGTTGCTCTTTTAAATAAATATAGTTTTAATTAGATTTACATTAATAAGGATTTGACATGCGACAATCAACATAAAAACCGCTACGCACTTAATCTATGTTCAATCAGATAACATTGTCAGCGCTATGATTATTTTTAATTATTACTATTATTATTATTATATATTATATAAAAAATAACTCGTCCTCCTCTCTTCTCTTCCGCTTACTGCCCAACAGGGTCCATAATTAACCTACTTTGAAATATATCTATCTATCTACTGTAATATTGTGGAATGCAAAGCTATAATAAATAAATAAATATGAATTTTAAGTTAGATATTTTCTACAAAAACATTATTATCATTTATAAATTCTTCAATTTTATAATAAGCCTTTTTAAAAAGAAAATATTTTATAAGACATTTGAATCTTTTTTCTGACAAATTGAGTTAATAATGCGGCAGGCATTTAGTATTGTGGCTTTTTGTAAATGTTGTCAGGTATGTAGTGGGTACGTAGAGATGTTTGCATGCTGCATACAGATAGATTGCACCGGTTCCTAGCCGCAGGTACCAGGGAATGTCCCACTTTCACCGGTATACATTGGTTTTAGCGAAACAAACATATTAATCGGCCTTGATGGTGTAGCGGTTTGGCATGCTCTTTACTTCCGATAGTCGCGGGTTCGATTCCTCGCACGGTACATTTGTTTCTATTAGTATGATTATTTGTATTGTCTGGGTGTTTTCTATGTATATTATGTATTTATTTACAAAATATATATATATATATATGTGTTTGTATTGGTAGTCTAGTACCCACAACACTCTGCTTACCGTGGGACTAGATGGCGCTGTGTTAATTGTCCAGAGTTATTTTATTATTATTATATTAATCACTAGCTGTCCCGCGCAACTTCGTCTGCGTTATATTATTATATTTTTTAATCTACGTAGGTGCCATCCTGATCATCTGGATAATATAATTACCTAATAATAATCTCAGGACAATTCACACAGCGCCATCTAGACACAAGTTAAGCTAGCTAAAACTTGTGTTATGGGTCTAGTACCTATAACTGATACAAATACATTAAATATATATTTTTTTCGAAAATAGAGGCATTGTCAAGCACTTGACCTGTAGCACTGAGACCTACAAGAACTATTGTGTTCGCGCTTTTCCAAAGTACGCTACCCAGACCCATCAAGGATAGAAATTTAAGGATATTCTTAGGAGCGATGGTTTTTATCTCCTCAGGATAGAGTGTATACTTACCGAAGGGGAAATTACGTTTATGCGTGAGTGGGCTATCATAGAGGACGTGTAGTGGATTTTCCTCTTCTGCTTGGCAAAATCTGCAGATTTTTTTTAAGCATAATAATGGAATAGTGCAACCGCCTGCGCTAACGGTTTACGCTGGCGGGGCACCAGTGGAGGATGATAAAATGAGCATTAGGTCAGGTCAGTTAGCCCATCGTAACAAATTCACCAGGAAGTTATCACGATGGTTTTCAGGGGGAACCGTGTGGAGGTAAACCATGGTACATTGCTAGCAATGGGGTCAATCTCCTCCCCCAAATCTGTAGATTGATGTTAAGGTACTTGCTACGCCTCCTACTTACCACTCTATTAATCAAGAACTACAAAAATTTAAGGTCCTCCTTAAATTTTTGTAGTCCTTGATTAGTAGGATAGGATCGATGGCAAACTGTAAAAAAAACGCTAGTAACCAATTCTTTTATTTCCAGAGTATCCTGTCATTCCTGGTATCGAGGACATTACCCCAACAGACCTCATCAGTAGATCCTCTATCGACGGCCGCGCCTGCTGCGCCGGTGGAGCCCAGAGCTGATGACACTCCCGCTGATGTAGACTCAGATGAACCACCAGAGGGGTACTACGCGTTTGTTGAATCTCCCAATGCAACCCCACCGAGGTAATCACGATTATAATTAAATATAATAATATATATACCAAAGGATATATTGGAATTACCCTTAAATAAATTCAAAACATCTGTATGTATATAGAACCTAAGTGGTCTCGGGCAGTGCGATTCCAGAGGAGCTACGTCCTGCGTACATTTAGATTGTGGAATGAACTACCTGCCGAGGTTTTCTCTAGAGACTACAGCATGGGGTTTTTCAAGAAGGGTATATTAAGGTTTCTTAAGGGTCGGCAACGCGCACGTAACACCTCTAGTCTATAGGCTACGGTAACCATTTCCCATCAGATGGGCCGTATGCCTATTTGCCACCACGTAGTATAAAAAATATATTCTTCCCAGGGTCCGTCCGCCACCGTACCGGCAGGTTTCGAGCGAGTGTCGCGAGGCGGCCGGCGTGCGCCCCCAGGTGAGCGCACATAACTTGTGTGGAGACCTCAACCGAGGGATCATACCCAAGAACCCCATGGGACAGAGCCCGAACGGAGAACCCTATCCGTTGTGAGTATACATGACATATTTACATTTATTTGTTTATTTATTTAATTCAGGCTACATGGCCCATATTATAAATACCTTATAGACTAACATACATAAGAAATAATAATAAAATATGTAAAATAAAATTGTCTCTATGGTCACGGCACTGACGACGGCAATCTGCCACGGTAGCGCCGATAGACCACCCCCTTCGGCCAGTAGTCCTCCTTCATGAAGGTGGGCAGCATATTGGTGGGGACCAGGGCCACGAACGCTTTGAAGCTCGCGTTGTGGCTCGATTCCAACTGCGTCACCCTCAATGTCAGGTTGCTTTTAGTCCGGATGTAGTCAACAATGTCCTGTTCCTTGGTAGCGTAGTGTAGGCGGGATAGGTACATGCATGTCACTTTTTAAGCTATTGCATAGCTTTGATTGCGGGCTTTAACCCGGTGACCGAATCAAGAAATTCCGTAACGAAAATAAATATAACATCTCCCACTCCGACCGGCACAATGGTGCGGCGTTGAAGCTGTGCATCGTCTAACGTCGTTTCAGTTCGACAGACTTTGTACATGTTGATATCACAGGGTTTCTTCCGTGAGCCCATTTGGGCCGCCGGGTACGGGCCTCGAGCATATGCTCATCACTCGGGCATACTGCTGGGGTGGACCTCAGCGTCGTTCGTATACGCCGTTAGTTGACGAGGCCGGCTACTATTATAAGAATAAAATTTTATAAAAAAGTGCCACTTAATTGTTTTTTATCGTGTGGATTATTCAAATTTGTAACTTTTCTGTTATTTCCCTATAGTCTTCTCTATATAATTTTAATTTTTGATTAGTTACTCTAAATTTTCCTTGTTTTTTCTTAGTTTCAATTTGAGGATAAATTTATAATTTGATTATCAGATTATTAAGTATTTATTTATATATTATACTAGCAGGCCTAGCTACGCGTTGTTGTGGCTAAGGCAATAAAATAATATTGCAACTATAAATTTAGATGTAAGCTATCCTATCTTTGAAGGATAGCTTACATCTCAATGTATAGTTTTCCATCAAATTGCACACAATGTGCAAATCAAATTTGCCATCGGTTCAGAAGTTTAGGAGTCCATCGCGGACAAACAACGTGACACGTGATTTTTATACATTATGTAGTAGAGGCTGAAGGCCAACTCCCGCCTGATGGACACGAGTTTAGGGTACCTAGTGGTGCCTCTGAACTCGTATCGTCAGGTACCGGCTGAGGGTCGTATTAGGACTGGGGATCGATGTGTGTGTGTGTGTACAGCGAGTTGATCCGCGACCGCGCACTGATGTTCCTGGCGCGGACGGTGCCGGTGCTCCGCGCGGACGACACGCTGCCGCGCGTCACGCACCTCGCGGGGACCGACCACGCTCACCACGCTCACCACACTCACCACACTCACCACACTCAGTACACGCGCGACCAGCCCGACGTGCACAACCAGTCAGTATATACCATATACCTTCATTTTTATAGAAAAAAACTACCCAACTCAGCAATATATATTTATATATAAAATAGCTACTCGCCCCGACTTCGCACGGGTGTACACGTATTATATATATAAACGTTCCTCTTGAATCGGTCTATTAAAAAAAATTGCTTCAAAATCCGTTGCGCAGTTTTAAAGATTTAAGCGTATATTGGGACGGACAGATAACGAAAGGAACTTTGTTTTATACTAAGTAATGATACCAAGCAGAGCCTGCAGTTTCGCTCGCGTTAAATATCAATATATAAATTTGAATAAAAAATATAGCTTATATGTTATACTGATGCATAAGCTACATTACTGTAAAGTTTCAACAAAATCAGTAGTTTTTGCGTGAAAAAGTAACAAACATCAATGCGAAGAAACTTTTGCGTTAAGAGCTTTTATTCGCGACTTCGCTCGCATAACTTCTTTTTAGCAAAATGTTAATGTTTAATTTTTTTATTTTTTTATATATTTGTTTTTTTTTAATAAAAAGTATCCTATGTTCATTCTAATACCTCCAAGAACATGTGTACAAAATTTTATGATGATCAGTTCAGTAGTTTTTGCGTAAAAGCGTAACAAACATCCCTACTTTCACATTTGTAATATTAGTACGGATTGAGATATTATGTTATCATTACATAGTATAAAACAAAGTCGCTGTCGCTGTCTGTCCCTATGTATGCTTAAATCTTTAAAACTACGCAACGGATTTTGAAGCGGCATTTTTTAAGATAGATTGTTGAAAAAGGTTTGTATATATAATACATGTACACCCGTACGAAGCCGGGGCGAGTAGGTAGTATATTAAACTTAAGTTTATTTGAATTTTCTATTCAATTATAAGTATAATATAATAAATCAATCTAAGTCAAACAAAAATGTAAAATTTAACTTAATAAGAGCACGGACTTTGTGTCTGTGGTTAATAATAAAAAAAAAAGTATAATGTAAATGGTGTTTGTATATGCAGACTAGAAGAACGTAGCAAAAGGTCTGCAGATTCCGCGGGAGAAGTTCCGTCACACGAGCTTGCGGCGGAACATCGGTCCGCGCCCCGGGAGAGCCGCAAGTTCTGCGACGGCGGCGGAGTGTGAGTCTATCAATATATTATTTGTTTGCTGGAGGATTGATTGATTGAGGATGAGGATTGAGGATTTGAATGTGATTTTTTTTTTTATTGTGTAGATGCACATGCATTGCATGCATGTCACGTGTCCAATAATATCCGTATGGATATTATTATTATTTATGTAGTATTTGTTAAATTTTTATTTCATTATGTTGTAAATTATAAAATGTTAAATCTGGATGCGACGAACCTTGCATTTCGTTCGTTGCCTGAATCGTACATAAAAAACAACCATCATACTTATTGTAAACTTCAGTTTAGTCAACGACTGCCAAGACTTGCATCTCTTTTAATATATCCGGCAATAGCTGAGTTTGTTCGCTACGCTGCCACGAAATGTTGGAAAATATGCCTCCAATTAAAAATTCAAAATCTGTATCTGCATTTAAACAAAAACTTAAGAAATTTCTATTAGAAAATCAAATTTAAATGTATGATTTTATTATTTTTTATTATTATTATCATTCCATACATTATGATATGACTTACACCTTATTACAGCGCACGTTTAAATAAAAAATTTTATATTTAGATTATTTTGTACAAGGTTCCACTGAAAATTTTAATAGTGACGCCACGGAATGTTCGCAGCTGTATTTTTAAAATAATTGTTATATAAAATATCATGATTGTTTTGTGCCAAATAAATATATTTTTCTTTCTTTCGTTCTAATTTGTTAAATTTTTATTTCATTATTTGTTATCTAACGTGTTTTATTTTTAAATGAAAAAGTGGACGCCCATCAGTCCGGCAATAGCTGAGTTTGTACCTATTGCCAATCATGTTAAATATGTATAAATGTGTAGCTTGTAACTGTGCTGATGTTGGCAATAAATGGATTTATTATTATTATTATTATATTGCAGTAGTTGATATGTTTTAAATTTAAATAAAAAGAATATTTAGATTGTATTGTACGTTGATTTTAATAGTGACGCCACGGAATGTTCGAGGAGTGCAAAATTGTATATAAAATATCATCGATGTTCTGTGCCTGACGTTCGAAATTTGAAATTTGAAATTTTATTTTTAAATAAAGTAAAGGGCTATTTGCGATCGCAAACATTATTATACATAGTAAATATTGCAGTAGTTGATATGTTTTAAATTTAAATAAAAAGAATATTTAGATTGTATTGTACGTTGATTTTAATAGTGACGCCACGGAATGTTCGAGAAGGAGTGCTAAATTGTATATAAAATATCATCGATGTTCTGTGCCTGACGTTCGAAATTTGAAATTTGAAATTTTATTTTTAAATAAAGTAAAGGGCTATTTGCGATCGCAAACATTATTATACATAGTAAATATATATAACTCAAAGGTGACTGACATAGTGATCTATCAACGCACAGCCCAAACCACTGGACGGATCGGGCTGAAATTTGGAGCATGCAGGTAGATGTTCTGACGTTATGTTTGCGCCTTTTAGTGAGGTCTTGATGGTGTAATGAAAATCGGAGATTCCTGGCTACTTTTTAATTTACTTGATAATAGGTTTACAGTGGTTGTTGAGTTTTTAAATATTGAACTGTACCCGTCGTAATTTTGTCTCTGGCCCGCTGAAACCCGACGAAGCAGTGTTGCTATATAAAAATTCTATTTTAGGCCACATAGTGGAACCGCGCCTGAACATATATTAAACACGAAAGTTTAAAAATAACGTTTCACTTCGCACATGAAAATATTTAATAATCAATGTAAATGTAAGACGTTCAATTTTATAAATGCAAAAACTGCTTCATTACAAATTACTCATTCTTTTTGTTTTAATGTAAATGCTCACGCATTGATACAAATACTGCATTTGTATGAATAGAATAGAATAGAAAATAATTTATTCCAATAAACTTACATCGAAGCACATTTTTTATAATTATGTACAGTAATTTAATGAAATTGCTATGTTTTTAGCCCAACAATTATTTCGACACCATGCTTAAATGTTATTCATAATGAATGTACCGCGTTCGGTTCTCACGTAGGGTTGCCAAGTTATGGTATTTATACTTTATACATTTACATACAAATAAAGTATGCAAAAATACTTTACTTTCAGCCTTTACTGTGATGCGTAAAACAGAATACTCATTATGGGCACTTAACGATTTATAATTACTGAACGAAGTTGTGACATTTGCCACAGCTCTAGTGTTGAAAGCACACAAAAATACGTTTAAAAAAAAATTGGCAACCCTGGTCTCAAATCACACATGAAAATATTTAATAATGAATGTTACGGAAGGAAGGATGGACTGTATTAAGGCTGGTTAAAAATGAGACACGTTCCTAGGTGAGGTAAAATATACACCTATTTTACCTCACCTAGGAACGTGTCTCAGCTCGCCAGCAAAAATATAAAGACAATATGGCATAAGAAAATAAACGGTATATAAAAACAGAACGTCAAAATATAAAATTCAAATATATATAAAAAACATAAAACCTATCAAAAAGGTTGCCATCGGCAACAATGAATGTAAATAGACGTTCAATTTTATAAATGCAAAAACTGCTTCATTACAAATTACTCATTCTTTTTGTTTTAATGTAAATGCTCACGCATTGATACAAATACTGCATTTGTATGAATAGAATAGAATAGAAAATCATTTATTCAAATAAACTTACATTGAAGCACTTTTGAATAGTCATCACATTTTTTTTCAATCTACCGCTCATTCAGAAAGGTGTCTCATCACAAGAACGAGCAAGAAACTTGCGTGTTGCTCTTTTAAATAATAGTCAGTCTCAGTCAGGAATCATAGGGGTCGCTGTCGCTGTCTGTACGTCCCTATGTATGCTTAAATCTTTAAAACTACGCGACGGATTTTGTATTTTTTTTTTTTTAATTCTAGAGGAAGGTTTATTTGTGTAATACATGTACACCAGGGCGAAGCCGGGGAGGGTAGCGAGTTTGAAATAAATAATACACAAATGTAATAGAGTTAAAATTTATTTAACACTGCACACCATTCACAGCGCGGGCAAACTTCATACGTTACAAATAAAAAAATGCCAATAAATACAAAAATATGTTCTTACACAATACCAGCTATCATTCACACCCTGTTGTAGAACAATTCAATTTAACTTGGATATTTGTAATGTTACACTTACATATTTGTAATTTTACACTTATATTACATAGTTGTATGTGTGTGTATGTATATAAGTGCATTATGATGGTTTATAACAGACAGAGTTTTTTTAACTTTGGCGGCAATCAAGCATACGGCCCATCTGAAGGTGAATGATTCCCGTAGGCTACGCCTGAAACACTAGGGCTGACACTGTCATTATTGTATATATAAAATTGGAGTGTCTGTTTGTAATATAAAAAAACCCGTTTTCTACTACATGCATATGAATATAAATACGGTACATACACCAAAATAACATTTTTTACAATTTTTGTGTTTATTCTGGCTAATCTCTGAAATGACTGGACCGATATTGACGGGACTTTTTTTTGTCAGGTAGCTGATGTAATAAGGAGTAACAAGGAGTAAAGTAATAAGGAGTAAAAGTTAAATTCCACGCGGACGAAGTCGCGGGTACAGCTAGTATATAATATATTTATACATAATATTGTATATAAATGTTTTTGCTCTCTGTGACAACAATATAGTTTTTATTTCATTCATAACATGATTAATACTAATACTAAATCATTTCGGAATGACAACGCACGAGCACCACCGTCTTAAACCAGGATGGGGCCCTTAGATACACAAGAATTCGGGGCCCTTTTGGAAAGTTAAAAAATATTACTTAAGAACATAGGAATAGGCGAAGTAATCGGTATAATGGCGTAGTATATGCCTTGTAAATACCTTCTGATAACATTACTGATTTGTGAAAAAAGTGTAGTGTGCCCGACAAAAATCTTTTGAGAATAAATGTGTGAGAAAAATTATCAGTCCGGGGGCCCTCTGAGAATGGGGGCCCTGGGCACGGGCCCCGTGTGCCCTTATGGTAAAGACGGTATTACGCATGAGTGGTATCACGAATGTCACATAATAAATGTTGAGTGTTCATATATATAGGCGACACTTACCATTTACCACACAGTCCAACTAGCTTAAATATAAAAATTAAGCTACAAAAATAGCTACTTTTAATTTCAATATAAAACATATAACAATATGTTGCAACATTAATAAACTTTCATATTTAATTGTCTTTACAAAAAAGAACTATACTATTTAATACCGCTAAAATTTAAAAATTCTTTAGGAGAATTATATTAGATAGATAGACAGCCCTTGGATAGCGGCGACAAATCTCAACATAAAATGAATTACATTGCACTGAATAAAATATTTTTCTTTCTTTGAATATTTGTGTAGGTACACATGCATAGCATGCAAGTGACGTGTGTATCCGTATGGACATTATTATTATTTATGTATTAATTTGTTAAATTGTCCGCCTGGATTTATGTATGTATGTGTATTATTATTATTATTTTATTATGTTTATTGTATATGAAAATGCGCTGGACGCGCATCAGTCCAGCAATAGCTGGTTGTACCTATTGCCAATCATGTTAAATATGTATAAATGTGTAACTATATTATATATATATATAAATGCATTTATTATTATTATTATTATATATTCAAACACGCGGCCCTTAGCCAAGCATGGATGAGTTATGTGATGAAGAAAGAAATTTTCTTACTTTTCTTATTATGATTATTATTAATAATTTTTCTATAATTGTAAACATTTTTTTATTGTTTTTATTCGAAGGAGACCATACTAAAATGTATATATATAGTATAAAATTTAGTTGCTTCCGTTATCCGTTCGCTTAGATCTTTTAAACTAAGCAACGGATTTTAATGCATTTCTTTGCAATAGAGTGACTCAAGAGGAAGGTTTATATATATATAATACATGTACCCGTGCGAAGCCGGGGTGAGTAGCTAGTTTTATATAAAAAAAGGTACGCAACTTACGCAGATTTTTAAAATTAGGGAGAATAATGACCACCAGCATATGCTATGCTATTGCATTTTTGTCAAAAGGAATTAGTCTAATCAGTGCCTGTTACCATTTAATTGTTATGATACTGGTAAGCTACAAATTCTATCAATCTAATATACAGTGCATTTTCTAGAAAGCGTATCAATCATCATTACATACTATAAAACAAAGTCGCTGTCGCTGTCTGTCCCTATGTATGCTTAAATCTTTAAAACTACGCAACGGATTTTGAAGCGGTTTTTTTTTAATAGATAGAGTGATTCTACAGGAAGGTTTATATACATGTAGGTGCCCCGTGCGAAGCCGGGCCGAGTAGCTAGTCGAGAATAGAATGTATATACCAGTAGAAATCCTTAAGTCCCGAATATCAGCATATTTCTTTAACTCCTAGCGTCTTGAGGTCTGCGAGAAGCGTTTCGTAGTTATCAGGTTGCGTGCCGTCCAGAAGTTTCACCCGTTTGTCTTGCTCGATCTAGTAAATTAAAATAAAATTTAAAATAAAATAAAAGGCCTAACTCTATGGTTATATAGAATAGAATGTATCAAAATCTTTACTAATATTATAAACTAGCTGTACACGCGACTTCGTCCGCGTGGAATTTAACTTTGTTGTTCAAAAATAAAAGTAGCCTAAGTTACTCCTTATTACATCAGCTACGTGCCAATATAAGTCCCGTCAAAATCGGTCCATATTTGCGATCAAAGTGGCCAGTACGTAGTATTATAACTTGCGCTGCTCATTGCCAGACACTTAGTGTGGTTCCAACATCTCGCCGGAACCCCATAAACTGTATTATTTTAAGAATAAAATTTCAGCTTTATTAAAAACGTAAGTTTACCACGATCCAGGTTTCATGTTTGGGGATCGTTCTTACTTTTGTTGGGGACACACATACAAGAACTTCCACATTTACTAATAAGACGTATGCCTAGCCGTCGTGGGCTCTTGCTCTATTTCTCTTCCTTTACAAATATAAAAGAAGGTAATACTCACCTACACGGGCCTCAGCCAAGTGTGTGCTGTGCGATGATATTGTTGAGGATGTCAAGATTATTATTTTTATCTATCTACATACCTCTGCTCGGTATGTGATGTACTCCGGCCACACACATCTCTCGAAGTACCCCGGCACGTCGGGCGGGTCGTACACTCGCAGGCTGCGTCGAGAACTACACTCGCCGTACTCCAGCACCACGTAGTACCTGTAACAAACACCACTCTACACCCTGGACGATTCAACAGCGGCATCTAGTCTAATGCACGTGCTAATAACAATACCTGTATAATTTACACAGTGACATCTAGTACCAAGCTAAGCAAAGCTTGTGTTATGATGGCTACCAGAATAGAATAGAAAATAATGTATTTAAATAAACTTACATTGAAGCACTTTTGAATAGTCATCACATTTTTTTTAATCTACCGCTCGTTCAGAGAGCTGTCTCGTTACAAGAAGAACGAGGAAGAAATTTGCATGTTGCTCTTTTAGTCAACTGATACAAATACATAGATACATTTTTTTTGTAAATATACAAAGAAAACACCTAAATCAAGGCAAACAAACTCATGAATATAAATATTTGTAGCGTGAGAAGAATCGAACTCACGACCATCGAAAATAAAGCGATATACTAAACCGCTAGACAATCAAATCTTATATTATTATAAACGCAAAAGTATGTAAGTATGAATGGATGTTTGTTACTCTTTCAGGCAAAAACTACTGAACAGATTTTGATGAAACATTACAGTAATATAGCTTATACATCAGAAGATAGGCTATAATTTAAAAAGATATTATGTAAATTGGGCGATATATAAGAATAAGTGTAGAGTGCAAGTTGCAGACGCGCCGGTCATACATGTAGCCCTAGTTTTTTTTATAACATTCTAATGTCACAATTTTTTTTATCCTTATATTTGCGCGCGAAAATTTGGAGGGAATAGATGTTTGTCAGACTGATTTTTATGAAATTCAGAATAACATATAGGCGAAAAATTTCAGGCGGCTGAAACCGTGGGCAGTTAGTAATTACCTCAAATTACACAACTCCAAAATAGGTTTATAGTTCATAACAGTAAATCCTTCGACGATTAGACATTTCTTCCCATCGACCTCCAACTTTCCAGTATCCCTGCTAACACACGACCCGTGTGACTTGTCCCTTCCGCTCATTGTCTCTATCACGTCATCATACATGGCCTGCATATCCAGCGCTGACAGGATATCATAATTATTATGATCCATACCTTCACACTTCACATGGTGAGGACTATCATCAGAGTAGAAATATTTATCCTGATGAAAAACATACACAGGCCTCAATACATCTTTCAGTCTGTTCGCTAGAGTCGTTTTTCCTCCGCACGTCACACCGGATATGCCTATTACGATCCATTCATCTTTGTTGTATTTTGCCATTGTATTTTGAACTTTATTTGTATTTCGTTTTTTTACACTTTAGAGGTATGGATATATGTGGTAGACGGTGAATGACATGAGACCCCCAATAAAGAAGAGACCCCAAACAGCACAGAACAGAAGGAACCACTGCGGGTCCGGTATCCAGTTATAGATGGCGAGATCTGAAATATAAATGTACAATTAACTAGCTGTACTCGCGACTTCGTCCGCGTGGAATTTAACTTTATTTTTCTAAAATAAAAGTAGCCTAAGTTACTCCTTATCACATCAGCTACCTGTCAAATAAGGTCTCGTCAAAATCGTTCCAGCCATTTCAGAGATTGCCCGGAACAAACAGACAGACATAGACAGTAAAAAATTGTAAAAAATGATATTTTGGTGTATATACCGTATTTATATTTATATGCACATAAAAACGGTTATTTCAATATTACAAACAGACACTCCAATTTTATTTATATGTATAGATGTATACATAGATTATAATAATCTTAATAATATTCTAAACGCGAAAGTTTGTGAGTATGGATGGATATTTGTTACTCTTCCGCGCAAAAACTACTGAACAGATTTGGATGAAACTTTACAGTAATATAGCTTATGCATCTGAATAGCACATAGGCTATAAACTTCAAGGGGGCGATGCCGCTGACACAGGTAGTTAATAACATAACATCACAGAACAATATACACAACTTTATCTAGTCCCAAGCTAAGCAGAGTTTGTGCTTATGGGTACTAGACAACTGATATAAATACTTAGATACAGTTTTTTTGTAAATTCAAATTCAAATTCAAATTCAAAAATCATTTATTCATGTAGGACATTTTAGCCGCTTATGAACGTCAAATTTTTACATTATAATTTTATTTTTTCCCTACCGTCCAGTTCGGTATATAGATCCAATTGAAAAGAACTGGCAAGAAACTCAATTGAATTACTTTTTTTTTTTTTTAAAGCCAGTTTATTTACAATGTATTTTTATATAGGTGTCTATGTCTAACATTAAATGAAAATTCAGTGCATGAACAACTATTGCCATGCACACTCGTCATTCAAGTAATCGTTTAGTGAGTAATAGGCTTTGCTCAGTAAATATGATTTAACAGATGTTTTGAATTTATTTAAGGGTAATTCCAACATATCCTTTGGTATCTTATTGTAAATTTTTATACCTATTCCTATAAAAGACCTATTAACTTTTTCTAAACGATACTTGGGGACAGCAAGTTTGTCTTTAAATCTAGTATTAATATTATGAATATTGCTGTTTTTTGGAAATTAAATGCATACATATATACATAGAAAACACACAGACCGATAGAAACCATCACACTCATAAATTCAAATGTTTGTGCCGTGCGAGGAATCGAACCCGCGACTATCGGACGTAAAGCGGTGCGCTAAACCGCTAGACCACCGAGGCCGTCAAATTTTAATAGTTTGATTATTACCTTGGTCTATAAAAGGGTGTGTATTTAACCAAAAGACAATCAGAATGAAGACTGTTGAAGTAGTCACCAGGACCAGTTTCCCCAGCGCTGCATCAGATATGTCCATAAACGATGGTGAGCAGATCACTTCGACTTCGCCTTAAGGACCGGTTCGTCAGGAAACAGTATTGACTTCCCTTCGTCTTTCTTCACTTCTACTTTCTCCACCAGCGGTTTCCTTTTTATAGCCCTTTGAACTATCTGCAACAGTTACCATTCTGTTAAATCCTTGTTAATATTATAAACTAGTTGCAACTGCGACTTCGTTCGCGTGGAATTTAACTTTATTTTTCTAAAATAAAAGTAGGCTAAGTTACTCCTTATTACAGCAGCTACCTGCCAATAAAAGTCCCGTCAAAATCGGTCCAGCCATTTCAGAGATTAGCCGGAACAAACAAACAGAGAGACAAAAATTGTAAAAAATGTTATGTTGGTGTATGTACCGTAGTTATATTCATATGCATATACCTAGTAAAAACGGTTATTTGAATATTACAAACAGACACTACAATTTTATTTATAAACTAGCAGTCCCGACAAACGTTGTTTTGCCTTAAAATAAAAAAAAAATGTAGGGGTGGACTACCCCTAACATTTAGGGGGATGAAAAATAGGTGTTGGTCCATTCTCAGACCTACTCAATACGCTCACAAAATTTCATGAGAATCGGTCAAGCCGTTTCGGAGGAGTATGGGAACGAAAACTGTGACACGAGAATTTTATATATAAGATATATAGATGCGAGTAACTCAGAGTAACTCTGTCTGTCTGTGACTTTCACGAAAAAACTACTGAATCAATTTAATTGAAATTTGGTACTATATGGTACCAAATTTCAATTAAATCTAGACCCTAAGAAAGGACTTTTAAATACGAAAAAAGGATTTGAAAGGTTGTATAGAATTATCGTCATTTTTTAAGCTGACGATTAAAAACAAATAAATGTGACATTCCAAGTTCTTAAAAATTTTACTTATGTATCATATATCTAATATGTTTTTGTATAATAATTAGCCTAAATATTTAAAAATGCTATCTATATACCTACATGACTCCACGAGGACGAAATCGCGTGTCTGTATATCGCATGTTTCAATTACGCAGATTAGCAAATGATAATCTATAATCGACATCGTTGTATAACAGTATAATTATGTAATATTATAGATAACCCACAGTGGTCATGTATGTACTGTGTGAAGCCCCTCCGATCGGTCCACCGTACAATTCAAACGGGGACCGATGTTACGACGGCCTAAGCCGAGGTTCGAACCCCTAGCGGTGGCCTCAGACTAATCCTCAGTCGTATCCGTCAGGCGAAAGTTGGCCTTCAGCAGCTCCATAAGTCCTTTCTTGGTTTGGAGTGCCATCTGCACTCGCCCCCTATCGTCCGGTGAAGCTGTAAAGGCCAGCTGCGGCCAACAGCATTAGAGTAGTCCGAAAAAAAAACTGTGTGAATCTCAACGAGGTGTCTGGATCGTTGTAAATAATTATAAAACACCAAATTTGTTAACTAAATTATAATTATATATATTTACTAGCCCTAGCTGTTCCCGCGACTTCTACCGCGTGGAATTTAACTTTATTTTTCTAAAATGTTAGTAACCTTAGTTACTCCTTATTACTCGTACATCAGCTACCTGCCAAAAAAAGTCCCGTCAAATCAGTCCCGCCATTTCAGAGATTAGTTGTAACAAACAGACAGACAGACAAAAATGGTAAAAAAAAATATTTATTTCAATATTATAAAGAGACACTACAATTTTATTTATATGTATAGATAGAAAACACCCAGATCGATACAAACAATCATACTCATGAATACGAATGTTTGTGCCGCGCGAGGAATTGAACCCGCGACCATTGGAACCATTAGAACACCGCAGCCGTCTACTTGTTATTATTATATTCGGTACTTACTTTTTCAGTGATAGTTCTCTTAACCGTAGGTTTGGACAGAGCCAGTAATTTCTTGATGGTTGTATTGGTCAAATTCCCTTGCGGAGCGTGGTTGTTTTTATTTACTTTCTTTGATCCCTTCTTCTGTTTCTTAGGTCCTGTAAGCATTTATGAACATACTATCAACTTCTATTTGCAACTTCATTAATGTTTCTTGGAATTAAGGAAGCTTTTGTTCATTCCGATCAAAAAGTTGGACTCGAAGAGCAAAGAACCGGAATCTATGGAAACATTTGGAGGAGTCCTATGTCACATCATGACAAACTGTTAACATTCAGATGGAAATATCCAATTAAATATAAACTAACAGGATCACAGTTACTGCAAAATATATGTATAACTAGCTGTACACGCGACTTAGTCTGTGTGGAATTTAACTTTATTATTTTAAAATAAAAGTAGCCTAAGTTACTCCTTATTACATCAGCTACCTGCCAATAAAAGTCTAGTCAAAATCGGTCCAGCCATTTCAGAGATTAGCCGGAACAGGGAGACAAAAATTCTAAAAAATGTACCGTATTTATATTCATATACATGTAGTAAAAAATGGTTATTTCAATATTACAAACACACACTCCAATTTTATTTATATGTATAGGTTAGAAAAAATTGTGATCTTAAAAGATACCAACTGCTATTATTATTATTATTATATGTCCATCCTGATGCAGTTTCTTTTCATAAAGCAATCAAATCAAAATATTATTACACTCTTATAATATGTAAAATCTATCGCCAGTTCAAAGTGCTTTCGAACTGAGAAAAACTGACAAGAAACTGGCCTCTTATTCTTTTTAAATGAGCTTTTACATGAATACAAAAGTCATTTACAACACTCAGTGCTTGCACTAAAAATTAGTATTTGGGTATTAACGCCCAAACACAAAGCTGATTCGTAACCAATGTGGTTGCAACTGTATTTAATAAATAATTTATTATAATACTAAATTCATGATACTAAGAATATCTTGTTATATGTTTGTTTTGTAGATTGTATACACAAAATATATTTTACTTTGTTAAAATAATTCGGCATGATTTTTTAATGTTAAAGGAAAGAGTAACAAATAACCACAGTCACAAACTTCCGTGATAATAATATTAGTAAATACAAAACAATAATCAAATTTCACACTTACCTGAGCAGGTACATAATAGATATTCATATGTTTAGGCACAAATTCACATTAAAAATATGTCAATCACATTATTAAAGATAAATCAAACTGGTCACAATTTTATCAAATTTATATGGGACCACATTCCCAGCTGAATTATCAAAACCAGTCCACATAGAAAAGTTCTGATAATTTAAAAGAGAGAGAAAATTATTTTTAAGAGAATAACACACAAGTTTCTTGCTTGTTCTTCTTGTGATGAGACAGCACTCCGAAAGAGCGGTAGATTAAAAAAAAAATGTTATGACTATTCAAAAGTGCTTCAATGTAAGTTTATTTGAATAAATGATTTTCTATTGTATTCTATTCTAAGATATTGCACAAAAAAAAAAAACAAAATAGAGACCAATTAAGAAACACCAACTTTTTGAATTTGGAATAACTTTTTTAGGGTTTTATACTATTGTTAGCCATTTTAGACCTGTGGTACCTTGCATTTTTATCTTTACCTAGGTTGTTGCCTAGGCCCGTCAAGGACAAGAACTGAAGAATATTCTTAGAAGTTATCATTTTTATCTCCTCAGGATAGTGTGTACTTTCTAAATGAGATATTTTGTTTATGATTATTTGGTTGGGACATATTACTAATTACTAAATATTTGACTTAACTATTACACAATTCTTGTTCTTAATTAAATAGACACAATTAGTACAATGATGATAATACTATAACGGTTATGGATCATTATTAAAACATGCGTGAATCAAGTCAGATAATATACTAGGACTGTATAAAATACAACTATATACTTACAGGGAATATGGTTATATACATGTATTAACTTTATATCTAAACTGATATTCACTGTGTACAAACATAGTTTAGTTTATTTATTACGTAAAAGATAGTAATTACAAATGCTCGATCATATTTAAGCTCTCAAATATGTATTAATCAATGAAACTTACGATGTGATGTATTACATTTTGTAGATGACGCAATTGTGTTAATTATACGAACCTTGACTCCCCGACCCTTTGCGTGGTTCCGCGCCTCTTTTGCCTCGCTTGTCCACACTCTCTATAAAGAAATAACATAACTTTAATATCATAACCTTTACCTAACCTAAAACATTAATAAAATTTTACTATTTATTCTATAAATATGTTACCTTCTTCGTCGACGAACTCGAGGGCCTGGCGGACTAATGCAGCGGACATTTTGCAGTCACAGAAAACGAAATCATTTATTTGTTTTAGATAAACACAGGAATTCTAACCTAAAAATTGTCAATATTGAAACACGAAAAATTGAATTAAATCTCAAATGTCGTATTCATACATCAGTCCGGTGTCAATCAATCGGGCTGTCAAACCAGACGTCACATTCACATTTAATTTTACTTATCATGCAGCATGGCTGTATATGCGCAAGTTTCTTTGCCTGTTTTTTAAAGGATAAACAGACTAAAAAAATTGTTTCGTTATTCTTTTATATTTTACCTAGGCTGTACGGTCTAAGGATCTTTGCCTGTTCCGTCATTGAAAAGGAGATGAACCAATATGGGGAAAAAAATATACTTTACCTCCCTGAGCATGTCAACACTGCGTCTTGTTTCCGTTTCATTATTATTTAATTTTGCCTATTATAATAATTAAAAATAAGAATGGAGAGTATAAATATACAGTATTATTCACTTATTTCCTTAAAGATTAACATTAAAATAAATAAGACTAATAAATATAATTATCAATCCTCAGCGTTTCATGAAAACTGCCTACTAACATTCCAACTCCTTCCTTAATAATAAATAGTCTTGAATTTTTTATAAAATATAAGTTATACCCTGTACGGTATTAGATATGTCCTAATACCTAAATATAAATTACATTTGTATTTATTTGTGTATTTTATTATATGTCCAGGTTTTGTATGCTGTATCGAGCGTTCAACGGTGAAAATGAAGCTCCTCCTGCAGGAGTGGAGAGACGTGAAGACCCTGGTACCGGAGCCCCACCACGCGGGCCGGGACCAGTGCCACATCCCAGATATGAGGTTAGTCGAAATATCTTTTTTTACGGACGACGATCTAATGGTGGTAGCAGGTTCGATTCCTCGCACAAACATTTGCATTTATGAGTACGATTGTTTAAGCAACCTAATTTCATTTTTATTATTTCCAGCGTATGCCACGTTGGTGGAAGTACTATTCAATAACGATTTGATTGTTTTCTTTGCATATTATTTATCATTACATAGTATAAAACAAAGTCGCTGTCGTCTGTCCGTTCCTATGTATGCTTAAATCTTTAAAACTACGTATCGCAGCCTGGGCGAGTAGCTAGTAAATAAATAAGACTTCCACCTACGCTAGTGGTAATCGCCAGTTATGAAAAAAAACACTCTTTTCTTAGCAATCTTCCTTCTATGCTCTTCTAGAATTCAAGTATTATTGCTATGCTACATTTAACGTGGATGATTTTTTTTATTACTAATGGGATTGCGCTTAGTCATACCTCATCTGATGGTAAATGATGGCAAGACTTATGATGTAGCGCGCTTACCCAGAAGAAATCTAGCACCATAGACTTGAAGAATCCGGGGTTGTATTTCTCCGGTGTGGAGCGCCCGGGCGCTATATGGTGTGTAGGGGGTCGTTGTCTTCGCCGGCGAGGACGGTGTCGTGTGTGTGTGTAAAAGTGTGGTCGGGGTGGCCAAAAAATGTTATAAAGTAATATACATATGGACTTTCTATAAAACTAAATAGTAGCGTGTTTTAATAAAAAAATATATATTGGCGTTGCACGCAAACACTAATGTTTTATTGATTACAACTGAAACTGTAACATTTGTATTAATATCTGCTATGCTTCGTTCATAGGGTCCCCCTACACCTTGTCCGGCTCGAGTGGAGTACGCTACACCAGTATTTGCTCGCAATTATCAGGGCGTATGGAGATACGTTGTGCAGATACCTTACGAGGGTTATTTCACGCAGACTGTTGAAGTCACAAGGTAAGTGAGAAGTGTTTATTAACTACAGCTAGTTATTGAAATTTGTAGTTCTTTATCAAAGGGGCTGTTCAAGTATTACGTAAGCACTATTGGGGGGGGGGGGATTTGCTTATTTTGAATGATGATGGGATTGGGATTTTGATGGGAGGGAAGTCTAGATTATGATTACGTCATCGGTAATTATTTACTTTTTTACACGAATGGCACTCCTCTCATTGCCTTTGCCCAAAAAAAACAATACAATAGTTGAGAAATGTTTACTTAATCATGGGGGAAAGGGGTAAGAGGTTTGCTTACTTTTGCTGACAAGGGGCCGGGAGGGGGGGGGGTGTAAATATGTAATAAATATGTACTTACGTACTTACGTATTACTTGAACGGCCCCAAACTGATGGTATTTAAACTAGCTGTACACGCGACTTCGTCCACGTGGAATTGAATTTTATTTTTCCGAAATAAAAGTAGCCTAAATTTCTCCATATTACATCAGCTACCTGCCAAAAAAAGTCCCGTTAAAATGGGTCCAGCCAATGTTTAGATTAGCCGAAACAATCAGACAGACAATAATTGTAAAAAATGTTATTTTGGTGTATGTACCGTATTTATGTTCTGACAAGAAACATAGCTCGTATTCTTTTCAAATTAATGTTGTACAATATATAAAGTAACAAACATCCATACATCTATACTCACAAACTGTCGCGTTAATAATATAGAATATTATGTTATCTGTGAATATAGTGAGATATCTTATATATAAAATTCTCGGGTCACAGTTTTCGTTCCCATACTCCTCTGAAACGTCTTGACCGATTCTCATGAAATTTTGTGAGCGTATTAAGTATGTCTGAGAATCGGCCAACATCTATTTCTCATCCCCCTAAATGTTAGGGGTAGTCCACCCCTAAATTTTTTTTTTATTTTAAGACAAAACAACGTTTGCCGGGACAGCTAGTAATTTATATTTCTATTGTGTTGGGTATTTGGTAGATGTATGCAGTCCCGCTGCCATTACTTGGAGGGTGGATGTTTGAGTTCCCCGCGCTGGGTATCACTATTAGTAGCTGAGTTACACTACCCACCGCCCGCACAACACTCGCAACACTTCCAGGTATGTATACTTGTATTTTTTTTATTTATGACTAGCTGTACACGCGACTTCGTCCGCGTGGAATTTAACTGTACTGTTCTAAAATAAAAATAGTCTAAGTTACTCTTTATTACATCAACTATCTGCCAAAAAATGTCTCGTCAAAATTTGTCCAGCCATTTCAGAGATTAGATTCCGTCTAATCTCTGAAATGGCTGGACAAACAGACCGACAGACAGATAGACAAAATTGTAAAAAAATGTTAATTTGGTGTATATACCATAAATACGGTACATACACCAAAATAACATGTTTTACAATTTTTGTTCATATGTTCAGATGCATGTAGTAAAAAACGGTTATTTCAATATTACAAACAGACACTCCAATTTTATTTATATGCAAAGATATTGACTGCTATGGAACATATGAAATTATGAAAGTATTTATTGAGGGAAAGATAGAAGGAAAGAGGGGGAGAGGAAGACCAAGGCACAGCTACTTCTAGCAAATGATCTTTCCTTTGCTTGGAGTCGTGTCATACCAGCAATTAAAGAGTATGATGGAAACTGAAGTGGCAAGAACTTCACCGACAAGAAGCGACACCGTTGCTCTTAAATTTATGAGTGATGATAATGAATTGGTGCACCCGCCTGCGCTAACGGTCTACGCTGGCGGGGCACCAGTGGAGGATGATAAGATGAGCATGAGGTCAGGTCAGTTAGCCCATCGTGACAAATTCACTAAGAATTTGTAATGATGTTCTTTTCCCGTCTTTCCTTCTCATTTTCCTTCGATAATATCATACATAATTTATCATATCAAGTGCCCTAATATTTTCTTCCCCTATTCGCAATAATATTTATGATCTGTTCTCTTTCTTTATCCCTCTGCAGTACTTCTTCATTTCTTATTTCATCTAATATATATACAAGATAATATTTTTTTATAAATGCAGTTTAAAAAAGCGAACGAAAGATTGAAAGAATTTATCTTCCTTAGGATTACCAGCGCGGTCAGGGAGCGCCGGAGACTGAACCTAGCACGGAGAAGCCACCGCACTGCGATGGACACGATGAGCTGGGATGTTACCAGGTACGTTGGCAATCCTGATACGTTATTTTTTTTTAATTACATCAAATAAATTAAGGCTCAATAAATGGATCCTATTTAATGAAAGTTAGTACCCCATCTAGGCTGGCAGACATGATGGCAGAATATTGTTATTAATAAGTAAGTAATCAAAATTGTTTCAATTTTGGTCAAATAATAACTTTACATTGTAATGATTAATTTAATCAAAATTGTTTCAATTTTGGTCAAATAAATAACTTTATATTGTAATGATTAATTTAATCAAAATTGTTTCAATTTTGATTAAATAAATAACTTTACATTGTAATGATTAATTTAATCAATATTGTTTCAATTTTGGTCAAATAATAACTTTACATTGTAATGATTAATTTAATCAAAATTGTTTCAATTTTAGTCAAATAATAACTTTACATTGTAATGATTAATTTAATCAAAATTGTTTCAATTTTAGTCAAATAATAACTTTACATTGTAATGATTAATTTAATCAAAATTGTTTCAATTTTAGTCAAATAATAACTTTACATTGTAATGATTAATTTAATCAAAATTGTTTCAATTTTGATTAAATAAATAACTTTACATTGTAATGATTAATTTAGTCAAAATTGTTTCAATTTTGATCAAATAAATGACTTTACTGTAATGATTAATTTAATCAAAATTGTTTCAGCTTCGTATGTACTACGACTGGTTCTTAGTGCCTGGTTCCTGCAAGTGTTGGAGACCAGACTACTTCGCTAAATACGTGAGACGCAGGCACACCAATGAATTGTAGATATATAGATAACAATAACAAACTCGTCAATGTATAACATATAAGTTTCAATGAAAATTGTTCCAAGCATTATGAAGTTACGCGGGTCAGCTAGTAGTAACAACTGATAGTATAAATCCGAAAGTTTGTAAGTGTGAATATTGCATGGCTGTTTGTTAGTCTTTCAAGCAAAAACTACTGAATGGATTTTAATAAAACTTTACAATAATATAGGTAAGGTCCAAGATGCTGACGTTTATACAGAAGTATAATTTCAAGTAGTATAAATAGTTTTAAAATATAAACGTGTTGGCAATTAGCTGTAAGTTTATATTGTTTTAATTAAATAAAATAAATAAAAAATAAAATAAATCAGAATAGCGCATTAGGCTACAAATTTCACGCGCGTAAAACCGTAGGCACAGATAGTTTATTTATGTAGGTACCTACTTATGAACAAGGTAGATTTATAAATCACAAGTGTGCTCGCGTTTCACCCGCTATAAATTTCTATAAACATAACCTATGTGTTATTCTTTTGATGTATTCAAAAGACCTAATATCGGGCTTCTCGACCAAATACTCCAATAGATTACTGCTATTGAGTAAAAACAACATATGCATGATGACTAGGGCCCTCACAGGACACTGCAAATTGAACAAGCATATGGCTAAGCTAGGCCTATGCACGACAAGTATCTGCAGATTCTGCCAAACTGAAGAGGAAACGCCGCTTCACATCCTATGTGGTTGTAGCCCACTCATGCATAAACGAAATATCTCCTTTGGAAAGTTTACACTCTTTCCCGAGGAGATAAAAACGATCGCTCCTAAGAATATCCTTCAATTCTTGTCCCTGACGGGTCTAGGTAGCGAACTCTGAAAAGGGCGAGCACAATAGATCTATGTAGGTCGCAGTGCTACAGGTGCTACACATCTGACAATAGCCCAAACAACCGTATAAAAAAAAAAAAAATAAAAAAAAAAAATGTGTTATTCAGATGCCTAAGCTATACTATATATTACTGTAAAGTTTCATTAAAATCCGTTTCAATTTTTTGCGTGAATGAGTAACATACATACATACAAACTTTCGCGTTTATAATATTACTAGCTACACACCCCGGTGTTTGTTTATTCTAAATTTGTATTTAAATTTATAGTTCTTTTATAGTATCATTCTTGTATAATATACTAGCTACTCGCCCTGGCTTCGCCCGGGTGTACATGTTTTATACATATAAACCTTCCTCTTGAATCATAATATCTGTTAAAAAAAAACGCTTCGAAATCCGTTGCGTAGTTTTAAAGATTTAAGCATACATAGACAGACAGCGACAGTGACTTTGTTTTATACTATATATAATCATTGGAGTGTTCATACGAGTGACCTAAACATTGCTCAAACAAACCTAAACCGACATGACAAAGTTTTTCAGGTATGTGTAATTCTAAGACATATTTGTTTAAAAAAAATCTGGCTACTCGTAATTACGCCATTCATTTTTTTACTATCTTGTTCGCATTTTTTTTTATTTCATACGAATGACCTGAACATTATTCCATTATTCAGTGAAAATTGATTTTTTCAGTTGTTTGATTCTAAAACATATTTTTGTTTAAAAAAAATTGGCTGCTGGTAATTATGCCTTTCAATTTTTTTTTCATTATAGAATCTGGGATTGTTCATACGAATGACCTAATTATTGGTTTATTTTTTAGAGAAAATCGAGTTTTTCAGTTACATGTAATTCTGTAACATACTTGTTTAAACTCAAAAACATTGGTCTATTTTTAATGAACTTCGATTTTTTATGCGTAATTTGAAAACAGACTTGTTTTTTTTAATTAATATGAAACGTTGATATTAAATGCCTTATCCTGTGGACAAAATTGCATCCAATTTAATATAGTTATTGTAGGAAAATTTCATAGTAGCAGATTTTGTATTGAGAGAGGCACGGGACCTGCATGTCCCTAAGGAGAAATTTCCACTCGTTACTTAACCGATTGGTGCTAACTTTGAAGTTGTGAATGTAAGACTGTAGGTATTTATTATAGTTAATATAACATATTGTTAAGTAGAGTTATGTACCAAAATATTGTATTGTATTGTATTGAAATGGGAGAAGAGATCTCTTACAATTATGGTTATGCAAATATTAACCTAGCTTATTTATAACCGAGTTACAAATGGTAATGACTTTTCATTATTGTCGATGTATAAATAATGAATAATATTCCTCTGGTAATGATTTTTCATTATTGTCGATGTATAAACAATAGTATACATCCAGCTCAATGTGCATTTATAATTAAGTTCTATAGTTATTAGAGTTGTGAATAAGTATATATCTCGTATTGCTACTTAATGAATTCATATTATTTTGTTTAATTCCGCTACAATTAGTATGTGTGAGACTAACTTGGCAGTCCGGTATTAATAATGACGTAAAGAAAACTGATATAAATGACTCTACCTAGGATATGCCTGGTAAAGAAGGTCTAGGAGAGACGACTTTAAAATAAATGGGAGAAGGCAAAGAGAGAGAGAGAGAGAGAGAGAGAGAGAGAGAGAGAGAGAGAGAGAGAGAGAGAGAGAGAGAGAGAGAGAGAGATTAGCATGTGTAATTCCACAAACATTTTGGTCAACACTAGGCTTCCAAACTATATCCTAACTCTATCCATTGCCTACTGCCTCGTTCAGAGACGAAACACGTGTCGCAATATACACGCAATGTACACTCAATAACGGTCGGAATTTGATCACCAATAAAGAAGGTTGTAACGCTTCCAGTAGCGGTGGTCAGGTTTCCGAACTGTATATTTGTGCTCTCACACATGCTAGCGTAGGTAGCAGAATTAAACAAAATAATATAAATCCATTAAGGGAATTGACTTCCGCAAAATAACACCTAATTTGATAATGTATCTTATAGTATTTATGTAGTAATAATGTAAAATAAAGCACGCAAAGTTTATTTGTTATTTTATTTTAAAAATATACTATATAAGCAATAGGTACCTCTATCTTATACTAGTGAAGTATTGGAAAGATCTACGTAGCTTTACAAATATATTGTACATGAGTTTTGTGTACTACAACTACACTACTTTGTGGGGAATGTCTAATAATTTCAATATCATCAAAAATTATTTCATATATTTGGTTGTAATTTATTAGTTTGGAAATAGAGTAAATACTTACTATAATATTTCAAATTTATACTATGAGATTTACGTCATTCCACTTGGAAAATGTACAAAAATACTTTAATACCACAGAATAGAACCATTACTGTATCTTGTATTGCATCTAATAACTTAGTTTTACTTGAGTATCTTTATACAGGTACCATATCAGGTATAGTTTCAGCGTTGATAGGTATAACAACATCAGCATTGCTGTCCTCCACACGAACTTGTGGTATCTCTTCTACATTTCTTGCTGTCTCATCAGGTATATTATCTTCATTACGTCTAACACCTCCTTCTCTTTCTATTATTCTACCGTTCTCAAAAACGAGTTCAGTATTTGTATCACTTTGATCACAACCAATATTTACGGTATCAGAATTTAATCCTGCAGTTACACTATTGTTTTGTCCAGTATTTTGATCACTGCTGGGCCCAGCTTCCATATTATTTTCAAATATGTTCTCTCTCCGTCTGTTGTAAAAATGAACGGTAGGTATACCGTCTTTAGGGTTTGAGAAGCCAACATGGCACGCAGAGTAGGGTGGAGGCGGTTCCTCGTGGTAAATCTTATTGGCTCCAATTCCGGAAACGGTGGAGACTGTGGCACATTCGGAGTAAGGCGGAGGTAGGTCATTATTTAAGACATCTTGGTTATTTTCTGAGTGCAATCCATCAGATGGAATATTTATATCGCTCGGTGGTTGATCTGTAAGTTAAAGTTATTGCTATAATATCTAATATTAATAAGTAACTGTTCGTTTTAATGTACATAATTGAAATTTTTAGAGATTTACTGAGAAGTAGAAACTATGATATATAGAATATATAGTTATGCAATTGTTATTTACTGTCGTGTCTGTCGTGAATTATAAAATAAAGAATCCGTAGATGTTATAAATTCTGTAAACTATTTAAACTTTGAGTGATATTGTGTATCAGATAGTGTAGACTTTACAAGCTGTAAACACGCAAGTTGATGAATTTGCATTTATTCTATAACCATTAACACTTCAAGAATAGGAATATTTTTAAGTATAACAATATACGGAAGAGAAAATCTTTCCGGATAGAGCAATTCCCATATAGCATATTGCTGTAGTTACTGTTAAACTTTAATAAAAAATAAATTTCTAACATTGACAAATACTACGCTTAGATACTGCTTAATGAAAGTGTAGGTGATAATTTAACTGTATACTCACTACTAGTAGCTAAAACGTTAGCGGCAGGCCATTCTGCTGAACGTCGGCGGCTTCTTACTGTAAAAGAAAAAAATATGTAATACAAGAAAGTGAAGACCAAGATATAGTATACAGCAATAAGATAAATAAAAAGGTTAGAATCCTCTCGAAGTGTCAACCCTTAAATAGAATGATGGAAAATGGTAGTAAAAAGTAGAAGCACCACCAACAAGAGCACAAAAAAATGAATGATATCTTCCACACATTAATAGTCTACAGAGTCGAAACAAAAAAAAAAGATTATTTTGAACGTCACGGATATAATGTCGACGCCCGAGAAACTTCATCAGCCGGCCATTGCACTTGCAATATTGGCCCTAATTTTCAGGACTTCCACTGTCGCAATATTGGTCCAAATTTTAGAGATTTCCACAATTGCAATATTGGCCCTAATTTTAGAAATTTCCACTGTCGCAATATTGGCTCTAATTTTCAAGATTTCCACTGTCGCAAAATTGGTCCTAATTTTCAAGACTTTCACTGTCGTAATATTGGCCTTAATTTTCAAGGATTCCAACGTCACAATATTGGCCCTAATTTTCAAGACTTCCACTGTCGCAATATTGGTCTTAATTTCCGAGAGTTGGTACAAGTAGGTTAAGTGGGGATGCTCACGGAACTTCCTGTGGAGGCACTTCTCGACGGCGCGCACGAGCAGCACGAGCACGGCCAGCAGCACCGCGCCCGCCAGCCAGCCGCGCGCCAGCCCCTCCCCGCGCCGCCCCGCCTCCGCGCCCGACACGTCCCGCGGCGCAGTCTCCAGCCGGATGTGCTGCAACCACACACTCTCACGTGTAAACGCAGTTAATGACATAAGTGGAATTAGCTGCCTTTTTCAGCATTGGCTTTCACGCTTTTTTTTCGGTCTACTCTAATGCTGATGGCCGCAGCTGGTCTTTACGGCTGCACCGGACGATAGGGGACGAGTGCAGATGATACTCCAAACCTACGGAAGGACTTATGGAGCGGCTGAAGGCCAACTCCCGCCTGACGAACACGACTAGTCTGAGGGTACGCTAGAGATTCGAACCTCGGCTCAGGCCGTCTTAATTTCGATTCCCGTTTGAATTGGACGGGGGATCGAGCGGAGGTGGACTTTGAATGTGCAGGAGACAAAGAGGACGAGAAAGACCGCTCACATTCATACATGAAATGCCAACCGATCGCAAATTATCATTGTAAAATGGCACACATCTGACTACGGAACAAAGAAAGTTTTTAATAGATGACTTTAGTCTACACATTCTTTCACGCTTGATCATACACGCATGCGATTTAGCGCGGGAAAGCTAGCGCGCGCAATCGTGAGGGATTACATTTTACTATTTTCTTTGTTCATTTAATGTTAGACATAGACACCTATATAAAAATACATTGTAAATAAATTGGCTTTAAAAAAAAAGTAATTCAATTGAGTTTCTTGCCAGTTCTTCTCAATTGGATCTATATACCGAACTGGACGGTAGGGAAAAAATAAAATTATAATGTAAAAATTTGACGTTCATAAGCGGCTAAAATGTCCTACATGAATAAATGATTTTTTAATTTTGAATTTTGTTTGTTCATTCGCGAGTATGATTCATATCATTTCAGTGCCTATTAATAAAAATATTGCAACACTATACTTATTATACATACCAACCAACCAAAGACAGGTTTAAGATTTATAAATCTTAAACCTGTCTTTGGTAAATATGATGATGATGATTTATAATCTTATTGCACAGATTTATAAATCTTAAACCTGTCTTTGGTAAATATAATCTGTGCAATATTTTTTTAATAGGCACTGAAATGATACAGTCCTTGCTTCATTGTTAGATATTCGCCATTTTGCAATGATAATTAATTATTCTACAAAGGCGTTAAAGCACGCACGATTGAAGAACACGGGAATGCACTCACTGGCAGCGCACGTGGTCTTTCTCTTTCTATTGATGTACATTCAAAAGCTCATTCTTTCCTACTTGAAAGCCATGTGAAACGTACGTGTAAAGACTTTATTGCCTATTGGTATGTATTTATAATCTACAACCTACCAGCGAAATACTGCAAACTCAGCAGCTGAAGTAAGTGGCACTAAGTTTGGGTACCTCTTTACAGTCTACCTCTCTTAAATGATTTAATAGAATATAGTTATATTTCTAGTGGTGATATGTATGGCATACCTGTAAATCGGACAAACTCCAAGGTCCTGTGTCGAGAGGGTACCGATCCTGGCGCCAGGAGCCGTCTGATGTGGGGAAGGGGACTCCTAACTCTGAGTTGAAGTTCTCCGCTCTGAGAATATTATAATATCATTATATTACAATATAATTTGATATTGAACTAATATTTGTTATATAACTAGTCCTTTCAGCCTCCATAAATGTATTTGAGATCTTAGAGATCAGATTTGCACTCTTTGTAACGATACTCGTCCGAAAAGGCTTGACAGATTGAGACCAAATTTTCATCGAAGGTCGAACTTCGGCCTCCATCGTTTACCACCCAAAAAAATTGCGATCGGTCAAAGTTAAGTTTTTAAGAATAAACCAGACTGATACAATCGTATTGGTAAATACAAATGTTTGTGCCGTGTGAGGAATCAAACCTGCGACTGTCCGAAGTAAGGCAATGTTTTTATGGATGATAATGGAATGATGCACCCGGTTGTTATAACGGTATACGCTGGTAGGGCACCAGTGGAGGATAATAATATGAGCATGAGGTCAGTGAACGCATCGTGACAAATTCACCAGGAATTTATCGCGATGGTTTCCAGAACCGCGTGGAGACCAACCTGATATGGTACATTGCTAGTAATGGGATCATGAGTCCACATTACTAACAATTCTCTTCCTCCCCGAGGCCATCTGTTAATGATGAACGTTTAAAAGACTATAAAGACCTGATGAGTTGTCGCAGTTGCTTGGGCGTGTAGAGAGCTATCTCCTGGCGAGGCAGGTGGGACCAGTCGAGGAACGCCTGCAGCTGAAGATCCCTCAGGTCGTGCAGCGTGAGCCGCATTCGTCTCCTGTGGTATCTGTGTGATAGACAAATATTTATTTCATCATCAATTCAGTCTGTGTCCACTACCATATAGCAATTTTAAGTAGATATGACATGGTCTAGTGTCTTGAGTAGTCATGCTCACTAAAATGTGCAGACATGTGGCGGCAAGGTGGGCCGAGTCATTGGGCTCCCTAAAATATGGTCGAGCGCAGTGATGGCTTGCTCATACGTCATACTCGTGAACGAGTGCTGCTTGTAGAGACTGGTCTGCTGTTATCACTACTACTGATTTAATCTTATTGTGTATTTAATATCTGACTCTAATAAATTAGTGTTAGTAGCTGGTTTGTATTCGCACGTTTCGAATTGAAAATATAAAGTTACAATGATTATTTAAAAGAGCAACGCGCAAGTTTCTTTCTCGTTCTTGTGATGAGACTGCTTTTCGAATGAGCGGTAGATTAAAACAATGATAACTAACTGTTCAAAAGTACTTAAATTAAGTTTATTTGAGTAAATGATTTTCTATTCTATTCTATTCTATCATTATCGTCATTATTTCTGGCTGTTTATGTGTTATTCTCATGTATAAGTTATATTATTGTATAGTTTCATCAAAACCCGTGCGTGAAAGAGTAAGAAGTATCCATCCGTCTATCAATTATCTTGCAGCGAAACTGAGTTCAGCAGCTTTTGCCGTGCGTAAGGTTAGACAGTATACTGATACTGATACTGCTAGATTGGTATATTTTAGTTATTTTCATAGTTTACTCTCTTATGGAATATTATTATGGGGAAAAGCGGCAGATATTAAAAATATATTCATATTACAAAAACGTGCCATTCGAGCGATCTACTGTATGAAGAGTCGTGACTCATTAAGAGAGAAATTCAAAGAGGCAAATATTCTCACCGTTGCTTCTCAATTTATATATTCAAATATCCTATATGTTCATAAAAATCTTGACTTATGTATTTCAAAAAAACAGCAATATTCATAATATTAATACTAGATATAAAGACAAACTTGCTGTCCCCAAGTATCGTTTAGAAAAAGTCAATAGGTCTTTTATGGGAATAGGTATAAAAATTTACAATAAGATACCAAAGGATATATTGGAATTACCCTTAAATAAATTCAAAATATCTGTTAAATCATATTTACTGAGCAAGACCTATTACTCACTAAACGATTACTTGAATGACGAGCGTGCATGGCAATAGTTTTCATGTTCGGGATTTTCATTTAATGTTAGACATAGACACCTAATAAATACCTATGCATTGTAAATAAACAGGCTTTTGAAAAAAAAGTTATTCAATTGAGTTTCTTGCCAGTTCTTCTGAATTGTATCTATATACCGAACTGGACGGTAGGGAAAATTAATTATAATGTAAAAACTTTACGTTCATAACCGGCTGAAATGTCCTACATGAATAAATGATTTTTGAATTTATACTAACAAACTTTCGCGTTATTAATATTAGGAAGATCAATCAGTCAGATTGATGGATCACTTACCACCATCGTAGTATAAAAAAAACATGTAATTTGCTGTGAATACCTGTCGGGTTGTTCCCGCCTGCCGTCGTCCCAGCCGGGCCATGTCAGCCAGGTTGGTTTCGTCGTTGGCTGCATTCTGGAACACCATACAATTCCGAGTTTAGTACATTATATATTATTAAATATTTTATTTATTACTATCTGTACCATTGATTTCGTTCGCGTGGAATTCAACTTTATTTTTTCTAAAATAAAAGTAGCCTAAGTTACTCCTTATTACACCAGCTACCTGCTAAGAAAAAGTCCCGACAAAATCGGTCCAGCAATTTCAGAGATTAGCCGTCACAAACAGACAGACAGACACAAATTGTAAAAAATGTTATTTTGGTGTATGTACCGTATGTATATTCATATGCATGTAGTAAAAAATGCTTAATTCTAATTCTATGTATATGTATCAGTTATCTAGTACCCATAACACAAGCTTTAGCTAGCTTAACTTGGGTCTAGATGGCGCTGTGTGAATTGTCCTGAAATTATTACTATTATTATTATATTAAGGACTACGATTGTTTTTATGGTCTGGGTGTATTCTATATATAATATGTATATATATAATCATGAGATTCCTGAGAATATTATTATAATGGTAAATATCACAGTACAGAATCATCATTCATTAGATACAATATGTCAAGAGGCAGTGACATAGGTAATTAATAAGATAGTAGGTGTTATGTTATTATCTACAGGGTATTGCTCTATCATATTCTACTTTGACCTGCGCAACTTCGTCTGCGTTTCACTTCCCCACCATTTGCAATATTTTTCATTGCAGCTCCGCTCCTATTGGTCGTAGCGTAATGTTATATAGCTTAAAGCCTTCCTCGACAAATGAACTATGCAACACAACAAATATTTTTCAATTCGAATCAGTAGTTTCCTGAGATTAACGCGTTCAAACAAACAAACTCTTCAGCTATCCAACGCGAAAAGAATTTTTGAATTCGAACCAGCCGTTTTAGAAATTAGCAATAAAAAAGAAGGAACATTTTTAAAAATATTTTTCAGATGTATGTACCGTATGTACGTTTATGTACACTTAGTGCATAGCTGTTAATTTGAAATTACAAACTGACACTCCAATTTTTAAAAGCTATAAAACTTATCCTACATATCACAGTATTGAATTACAAATATTTCTTAAAATTATTTTAGTTTAAATTACCCATTACATCAAATATGATTTTAAGAGCGTGTAACACTGAACGAATGAAAATCTAAACTTAATTTTGGTAAACGCGATCTGTATAATGCTGGTGAATTACATTTAAAGTAAAACGAGATCAACGTCGTTCTTTTTCGAGTTTACGCTGAACTCCGTTTCCTTGAACGTGTTTATACTACGTATGGTGGAATCCAGCCTAAGAATTGGTATAGAAAAGCTGCAAATATATTCTAATTAATTTTAATCGGTAATTTATTCATAAACAATGTATGATGACTGTTGTTTGTGATTAATGTTGCAGTTAGTTTAGGTACATTATTAGTAAATTGGTTTCCCTGCGGTTTCCGGTCTGCATATACGTATGTATATAAACAAGGTTATACTATAGGTAAAAGAACGTAATAATAACTTAGGGAAGTTACGCAAACAAGAACATCGCTATTTTGCTGCAGACACATTGAAAATTTGCATAGTGTAAAACAAAGTCGCAACCGCTGTCTGTTCCCTTATATACATATACTAGCTACTCGCCCGGGCTTCGCACGAGTATATATATAAACCTTCCTTTTGAATCACTCTATCTATTAAATATAACCGAATCAAAATCCGTTGCGTAGTTTTAAAAATTTAAGCATACATTTGAATTTAGATGACTTTGTTTTATACTATGTAACAATTAAACTCGCTGTGCCCTCGGTTTTGACGGGACTCACTCTCAGACAGCCAATGTTGTAAGCAATACCTTAAGCCACTTTTATTTTAGAAAAAATATTTTTTTAATATAAAAAAAATTCCACGCGATCAAAGTGGAGGATGACAGCTATTTTTAAATGTACTTAGTTGGAATGACAATGACGGTCCACCTGATGGTAAGTGGTAACCGTCGCCTGTAAATATACTTGAACACCACCATGTGGAGGAAGATAAGATGAGCATGATGTCAGGTCAGTTAGCCATTCGTAACAAATTCACTAAGAATCTATCACGATGGTTTCCAGGGGAAACTCGTGGTGCTTAACATATAGTAGTATATTACTACAATGAGGTTATAAATACACATTACTAACAATCCCTCCTCTTTATTGTAGGTCTTTTTCATATGAATGATAATTTATTTATTTATTTATATAACAATGCACAAAATACCAAGGTAAAAGTACATATGGCGGACTTAACGTCTTACGGCATTTTCTACCAGTCAACCACAGGTTGTGCAGAGAAACTGTAGGCGGTGCAAATGTAATCAATAAGAAAAATAATACCTATGTCATAAATAATATATATTTACTAAACGTAAGTACATGTAAACATACATATACAAATACATACAATATATATAAAGCTATAGATAAATATGAATAAAATACATACCTAAATATACCATATACATATCATATAACATACTTAATAGTCTGACAATGAAATAGCAACAGCAGATAGAACATAACAAAAAAAAACAAATTCAGCAAGTATAACATAGAAAAGATGTACAAATAACAATGAGTCACGCAAAAAGATAAAATGGAACTATTCTACATAATAGAAAAGTTACATGCTGGAATAGTATTCCCGCAATTTACGCTTTAAGGAAAACTTACTCATGGCGGTCTTGATATCAAGGGGTAAGTCGATCCAAATTTGATAGCCTGAACGGCGAAAGAATAGTGGACGAAACCGGACAAATGAGCCGGGATATGAAGTAAACATTTTCTGGTCGTGCGAATAGAGCGAATGGTGTTGTTGTGATAATGGAATACTGCACCTGCACTAGTGGAGGAAGATAAGATGAGCATGAGGTCGTGCCAGTTAGCACATCGTGGTAAATTCATCAGGAACTTATCACGATATTTCAGGAGGAATCACTATTGTAGGTATTTGGATGATTATGATATGGTGCACCCGCCTGCGCTGTACGGTACGGTATACGCTGGCAGGGCACCAGTGGAGGAAGATAAGATAAGTATGAAGTCAGGCCAATTAGCCCTTCGAGGTAAATTACCAGAAATTTAACATGATGGTTTCTAGGGGAAATCGCGTGGTGATCATACCTGACATAGTACATTGCTAGCAATGAGCTTATATACAGTGGCGTAGCTACCTAAGTACTAGTTGGAGCAGTACACGGGGTCCTCAAGCTCAGGGGACCCACGAACCCTTACTAGAAAATCTCGATCGAACTGAACTTTTGTAAATTTCTCCCATTTTCAAAATAAATGAAATGAATGACTTTAATCATTTCAACTCAGTTGAGAGAAATTCGATAGCTATACCTTCTGAATTCCTCTAAATTCTTTCTGTTGGTTGGCAGTGTTGTCTATTTGACGGATGGCGATATGTGCGTTTTAATAAACTTGTACTGCTCAGCAATGGAGCCCTATTTTTTATTTGCTACAGGGCTCTTTGTTACCTAACTACTCCACGGGTTATATATCGACACTAACTTTTGCCCGTGGCTTCGCTCGCGTTAATTTATCCCCTTAGGGGTGGAATTTATCAAAATCCTTACTTAGGGGATGCCTACGTCATAGTAGCTTTATGCATGCAAAGTCTCAGTTAGTTAAGTTTCATACAAACTTTCATCTCCTATTTTATCCCTTTGGGAGTAGAATTAATCAAAATCCTTTCTTAGCGGATGCCTACGTCATAACATCTACCTGCATGCCGAATTTCAACCTGATCCGTCCAGTGGTTTGGTTTGTGCGTTGATAGATCACTATGTCAGTCACCTTTGAGTTATATAATATAGATTACTACAACTTCCTCGTCTACTGTAGGTATTATATTATATACACCGAATGAGGTAGTTAAAGAGTCAATAATTTACTCGTTAACAGATTACATACTCGTCCGTAATTTGGGACAGTGACATGTCTATACGATAACAGAAACAGATATCAATACATCTACCAATTGAGAATCAAATATATAAAGCAAAGTGATTCGAATAGAAATAGAAATAATCTCTATTCAAATAAACTTAATTTAAGTAATCTATACATTTAAATAAAATTGAAGTATCTAATAATAATAATGCCGGGGGTATGTTGCCATCTCCTCTCCTTAAGAGGGGAGATGAGAATTTTTGGAAAATAAAAAAAAAAAAATAATAACCCGCGTGTTTGAATATATTACCCCCGTAAAAAGGGAGATATAATATATATAATAATAATAATAATCTTAGGACAATTCACACAGCGCCATCTAGACCCAAGTTAAGCTAGCTAAAGCTTGTGTTATGGGTACTAGATAACTGATACAAATACATAGATATTTTTTTTGTAAATACATACATATTATATATAGAAAACACCCAGACCGATACAAACAATCATACTCATGAATACAAATGTTTGTGCCGTGCGAGGAATCGAACCCGCGACCATCGGTCGTAAAGCGGTGTACGAGACCGCTGGACCACCGAGGTCGTCATACGTGGTATCTGTTTTGTAATATTGAAATAACCGTTTTTTACTACATGCATATGAATATAAATACGGTACGTACACCGAAATAACATTTCATACGATTTTTGTCTGTCTGTCTGTCGGTTTGTACCGGCTAATCTCTGACCAATGGCTGGACCGATTTTGATGGGACTTTTTTGGTAGGTAACTGATGTAATCAGGAGTCACTTAGATTACTTTTATTTTAGAAAAATAAAGTTAAATTCCACGCGGACGAAGTTTTTTGATTCTACCGCTCATTCGGAATGCAGACTCATTACAAGAAGAATGACCAAGAAACTTGTGTGTTGTTCTTTTAAATAAATGTTGTTTTAATTAGATTACCATTTTCACAGGTCTGGGATATCACTTATGTACTATGAATGGAAGGTTCTCCTATCCATATATATCGCGTGTTCTGGTGTGGTGTCATGAGCTTTACCAAATGAAAATACATTTATATTT